ATAGGCTATGTTAAAGTTGATTTGGATAAAAGAATATGTAAACATAAAGAGCCCTTGAGAAGGAATCTTCTCCTGATGGGCCTATACTGTTGAGGTCAATTTGAGGCAGAGCATAAACTGCTCTCAGTTCAGTTCAAAAGCACTAAATATATTTAAGCCAAATTAAGCATGGGGGAGGAAAGATTAAAGTAATATTATTCAATGAACATGGCTTGCATTACACATATGTAAATAGATCATATTAACAATCTTTGAGCTGAGCCTGGTTGTTCATTTTTACACTCTAACCCAGTGGTTCTTAATCCTGGTCCTGGGGGGATCCTCGCTCTGCACATTTTGCTAGTCTCTCTTATTTCACACATGATTCAGATCATCAGCTTGTCCATGAACTGAACTGAGTGTGTCAGATTAGAGAGACTAGGCTGAGTGAGTATGATGACAGTATTTTTAGGGGGAAGTCGTGGCCTAATAGGTTGCGGGTTCGAGTCTCATACCGGCAGGGATTGTAGGTGGGGGAGTGAATGTACAGCGCTCTCTCCCACCTTCAATACCACGACTGAGGTGCCCTTGAGCAAGGCACCGAACCCCCAACTGCTCCCCGGGCACCGCAGCAAAAAATGGCTGCCCACTGCTCCGGGTGTGTGTTCACGGTGTGTGTGTGTTCACTGCTGTGTGTGTGCACTTTGGATGGGTTAAATGCAGAGCACTAATTCCGAGTATGGGTCACCATACTAATTATGGTGAAAAATTATGACGGTGTTGCTGACAATGGGCACACCATGTCACCATCGCGATTGCGTGTAAATTTGCAGACGATCCCTAAAGCAGCCTAGTCGAATATGCAGCGAATATCAAACCTAAAACTAACTTTACTGCGCTTGGTTTTCTATGGGAGAAAAAGGTTTAGGTGAAACTTTATGGTTTGTGTTAATATTCTGGACTCATCTGCTTGCCTGTATATAGTTTGCATCATCAGTAAGGTGTATTCTGAGTTTGGTCTTTTAGCCATCATTGTGTTAGTCCACTGAACTGCCTGAAGCGTTTTCTTTGTAACAGATTTCTGAGGGAAACTTTGCGCGTAACGCTTATATTCTGACTACATCTGTTTGCCTGTATAGTTTGCATCATCATTAATGTGTATACTGAGATCTGAGGTCTTGTTTATGTCACTGTATTAGTTCATTGAGGTGTGCTGGGGAATCCTGGAGTGTGACATACGAGGGAAACCCCAGTATTACAACTCAGAGTCACACAAGCCATATGCCGAGTTCACACTGCACGATTTTCAAACTCGTCGGATTGCCGTTGTTTTCACACTGCGTGAGAAAAATCGGGCTAAAATCGTGCAGTGTGAACTCGGCATTATATGTGCTCCACGGGGACCGCTTTTGAGTCATTTAATCAGCTTTGCTGCATATACATACTGGCCCTGATAATCATAAATTCTACTTACCGCTTGCCCCATTTCTGCAAATCAGTTTTTGTGACTGAATGACTTGCTCTACCTGTTGCTTTGGTCTTCATCAACACCCACTTGCGCCACCTGCTGGTGAGCGACTAACAGCAGATCGTGATCGTGCATACTCTACTGCGGAAGTGCGGATGTGCAATAAGGAACTTTCTGCCGAATTTGAACCACTGAATTTGTGGAAGCGAATTTGTAGAGTGAAATAAAATGAACTGAAAATTGCCTGTCGAATATTATACATCGTATTTTTAAACAGATTGAATAGCAGCGCCAGGTCAGCAGCGTCAAGCCGGAAGTGGGCGGAGCAAAAGTTACCTTACTAAGCATAGCGCCACGTCGTGTTTTGGATCATTTCAAAGTTTTAATACGTTGATGTCAAGTCAGCATTTTTTATAACGATTTAATCAGATGATAGAGAGATGAGGTAGCTGATCAAAAACAAGGTGAGATTTATAAGGCTTTCATAAAACAAAGCTACTAATACAAATGATGTGTTTTCATATTCTTATTCCAGGAGTAACTGAATGATATTCTATTATTTTGGAATGTTCCACAACAGTTGGCTGGCTCCGTTGACTGTTGGATCTTCAGGTTGATGGTGAGGAAAAGGAAGATAAATAAATAAATATATATATATATATATTTATTTATATATTTATT